TCATTCCCCGCAGGGTTGGGCAACCCCGGGAGGCGTTTGGCGGAGCTGGGCACTAAAGGGCGAGTTGAAACCTGCGCTCCTGCGGGCGCGGAGTCGCGGAGGCTTCGCACCGGCCGATTTAGACGCGCTCGCTGCTCCACGGGGCTGTGGTCCGCTCCGGAAAGTTAAACCCGACTGAAGGAGGCTGATAAACAGCTGCGAATTTGTGTTATTGCCTTCCAGTGGCTCTTTCCAATGCCACGTTTGGTCCGCTCCTTCCCAGGTTTTAGTCATTTACTCGTAAACCTGTTCCTTGCAAGCCCGTGTGCGAGGGGGGGGCTGAGGGTTGCGTATTCCTCGGGATTTATTTGTGTTTCTTTGTGGTTTTAATGGCAGTACTGTGCCCTGGAGGCTCATGTAGGAGGGAGCCAAATTAATAGTAATGGAGTCAGGTAGATAAAAGATAGCAGCTTGTGGATGAAGTTTGGTAGCTGTGAGAGTCCAATAAACATTTCCAAGCTCACAAATGGAAGCGCTGTGTGCTGAGTTGTGTGGTGGGAGCAGTGTCCACTGACACTGTCACAAGGTGGTTACACCCTGCAGGCCAAGCTGTTGAAACTGAGATAAAATGAAAATGTGGCAGAGTTTTGTGCAACTCCTAAACACAAAACTGCTGATTTCTAACTGTCGTAAACCCGGGGAGGATTCAAGCTTTCCTCTGATGTGGTTTGGAGTTCAGAAAAAAAAGAAAGTCACTGTGTCTGCTTATTACAGGGCTGATTTCCATGGCTGCAATTGCAGCACAAAGGCATTCCTTTCAGGTGTGGGGAGCTGCTGCGTGGGTCAGCTTGCAAAGTAAAAGCCAGGAGTCCGGGAAATCTGAGTATAAAGAAAAGCTGTTGAGTCACTCCTTAGCATCCTCTTGGCATTTGTATTAATTTAATTTGTGTAGGATAATGTGACACACAGAAGGCAAGTGACCAAGCTCGTAGTAATGTGTGCTGAGGTGTGGGCTCGTTGCGAGGCATGGTATGCTCACAGCTAAGCAGTGCAAGAGCCAAAGTTTATTATGTTGTGACTTGCACAGTGTCACGGTCTTACCCAGCACAGCCCCATCACTGGCTCTGCTTCCTCAATATTTGCTGCATAGCTTCGAGCCACTGCTGCTGCCAAGAGGAGTCCAGCACTGCTGCTGCTCCCCACCTTGGTTTCTCACACAAAGTAAACACAGGTTAAGCAATGTGGAATGGGTGGAGGTTTGCCTGTCCCTGACTCAGAGATTCCTGCGTGCGGTGACTGATGCCACCTCCTCGCCGTGGATACCCCAGCGGCAAAGCTGCTGCACCCACTCCAGTGATGCAACCCCAGTAGGAAGCTGTTCCATTACGTGCATTGCACGTTGCTTATTTTGTTTCCCATGGCTGAGAGGACCAGAATGGATTGAATGTCAAAAAGTGGCCAAAGCGTAGCCGCTTCCGACAGTGTTTCCTGATCCCTGCTGCCGGAAGCTGGCAGAGCACCGGTCTTACTGGTGACAGGCTCCTAGCAGGCAGGTCCTGTTTATCTAGCAAAGAAAACACAACTACCAGCACTTCATTTTACTTTAATGAAATGCATTCAGGTTAGTGATGCTTAGTAATCTAGGATCAAAGACCTTGTGATCTTTAATCCAGTTTCTCACTGAGTTTACCCAGTGCCTTGTTTAATATAAAACTCTCATCTTTTCGAGTCTCTGAACTATTCCATTGCTGCTCCACAAAGCTGTCTGAATCCAAACTCTCATGGTGCATTGGCCTTAATTCTTGCTGCTTACTCGCCGAATGTGGTGTCACCCAAAGGATTATGCAAAAATAATAATGATTTGGTGGCATCTCTGCTGTCCTCGGGACTCCATCAGCTCCTCCTTTTGGTTGGGCCCCTTGCAGGCAGGGATGTGTTGAACCGTGGGTAGGACCATGCTAAGTGTAGTGCAGGCTGATTGGTATTTTGCAAGCTGAAGAAAATGTCCTTTTTGTGAAGAATCCATTGTAGTGGGAGAAATCTGGGACAAGGGAGAGGAGATCGTGGCTGTAAGGGCAGTGGTAGCTGATGGATGCTCCTGGGTGTATCTTGGGGTACCTTGTGGTGGTGTGGGTGGGAGAGAGGAGCAGGTTACGAGGCTGCTGGATGTGGTGGTGTCTCGGGGTTGTGAGGAACTCATCTGCCCCCAACCCCATCGCGTCAGCAGAGGCTGTGGCAGCTCGTGCCCAGCCCTGGTGTGGTCAGGTTCTTCGTTCTGGGTGCTCATGCAAGTGCTTTTCTTCTGTGGGAACACACAAGCATCTGCCCTGTTTCTGTGGGAGCTTCTTGCCCATCCAAGGAGGGCAGAGATTTAGTGACAGTGACACCTACGTGCCATGGCAGTCTATGATGGGCTGGGGACCCCAGTCATTGGGTACAGTGGTGTATGGAGAGCGAGTGCTGCCCTTGGGTTTTGGAGGCTTCAAAACGCAGCCAAGCCCCTTCGCTGTGTGCAGAGCTGATCCAGCCTTCACCTTTGTTTAATTGCTGTGCAGTACTTGATGGAAGCTGTTTGTGCTTCACACTTCATGGGGTCAGGTTTGAGGACTGCGCTTCCAAACTTCTTAGAGGGGGGGGGAAGAAAAGCTCTTTACTTTGTGTCTGTGTTTTGGGATGGAGGAGGAGGCTGTTTGTGTCTGTCTTCCTTCTCACCAGAACCATCATTGAAATCTGTTAGGTGGAACACTCGTGCAGTTTTCTCTCCAGTCACAGCCATTTTGCTTGTTTCCCCTCCTTCCTCAAACCTAAATTTTTTCTTTAAAGTTGGTCTCCTTGGCTACGAATTATTTGTGTATCTCCTTCCAGCCAAGGTGGGGTTTATGTGCTCCAGTGCTTGTTAATTCATGCTGCTAATCAGACACAAAGAACGTAATTGAACTAATTTTACGAGCTTTATTTGCTGTCAGAAATAAACTGGCCCAAAAGGCGTGGTTGAAGGCAAAGCACAGGGCTGGGAACCAGGATACCTGATGGCTTCCCCTTGTAACACCGGGGCTCTGCACTGCGTTTCTGCCGTGGCTGCTCCATTCATGGTGGTATTTCATGGGAAGACGTTCTCCATGAGGCAGGCTCAAGTGTTGAAGTGCTGTGCCAAGCACGATGTGCCCTCCTGTGTATCGGGTCAGGAACAAACTGCCCCAGCAGTGTGACAGAGGGATGCTGCGGGTGCTTGTGGTGTCTGTCCATGACAGGGACAGCAGCCGTGGCACCTCCCTCCTGTTGCTCTCGGACCTGCCACCAAACTGGGGGGGGAAACACCTCCTGCAAAGCCCCTGTGTGTCTGTCCATCGCTGTGTCCGAGCGGTGCAGCCAGGCGTTCCCCTCCACTCGCCCTGGTCCTGCTCACCTGGGACCCTTCTCCTCCCATCTTCACCTCAGCTCCAAAAGGTTGGAATGCCCCTCAGAATCTGATGGGTTTTGCCCATTCCTGGGAGCTGATACAGCAAATTCTCGACAGTGCTTTTTAAAATCAGGTGGTGGCCAGTGTTGTTTTTCCTGCTGCCTCAAAAGCAGTGCTGATGCTAACAGCCTTCTCTTCCCCTCAGGTGATGTGATTGAAGTGTATTATGGTGACAATCGCTTTGGGACAGTGACCGACTCTGGCACAGCAACGCTCAAACCTCGTCCGAGGGTCCGGCCGCTGCTGACTTTCTTACCCCTTGTGAGTATCCACCTCGCTGCTGGGCTTTGTTGCGGTGTGTAACTGGTACCCAGAACCAGCTGGGCTGGGTGCTGCTCATCCTCTACCCGAGGGCAGAAAGTAAATGAAAAGCAAAACCACTCTATAATAATGCTGGATACGAGGGATTAGGAGGTGATCTGAGTTCAAGGCTTGTGTTGGACATAGGCAAGATACTCCAGCGAGAGGCGTAAGCATCATCAGACTTGTATTTTCAATTAAAAAAAATGCTGAGCATGTAGATGATAGATCTGCCTTGCGCTGCGTTTTATCTAACCGCTGTTGGCAGCATCTCTCTGTGGATCAGGCAAGTTGCTGGAGAGAGCAATGCAGAGCCGTGTCCTGTCTACGGCAGGGGAATGAGGTGGCGATGCAGTGGGTGTCTGTGCAGGGGATGGTTTTCAGTCTCTGCACAAGGGAAGCTGCTCCCTGTTGAGCTGCCGGTGCTCCAGCTCGATACAGGGACTGCAGCAACTGGACCCAGAGGGCCTGGAGGTGGCTTTGTCCCAGCTGGGACTCCAGAACTCATTGCTGGCTTTGATGCTCCATTGCTGTGTGTGCTGAGCAGGCTTCCCACCACATAGCACACCTTTTCAGGGCTCTTATCCCCTAAAGAGCGCGATGAAGTGCATTGATTGCTCAGATATTTTGGAGATAGCAATAGCTAAACCTGAAGTGATGCACACAGGTCAATGAAGGTCTGCGAAGACAACAAAACACTGAAAAGCCTTTGGTCTTGACAAGGAAATCCTCTCAGAATTGGGTGTTTTCCCTTGTACATCCTCATCCTTTAGAGCAGCCCTCACCTCCAGCAGAGGATGGACTGCTATGCTGTGCCATGGGTGCAGTTGGGAGTCATAGGGCTGCCCAGGTGTCACTTGGAGGACATCTGTGGGGGTAGAGGCAGTTTATATATCTATTTGACAGCATAATTGGGAAGTTATGGGGTTGCACCGGTTCTGCAAAGGGGTTGTGCCCTCTGTGATGCCTTCCAGAAGATGACAGCAGGTGAAAAGTCTTGCCTAGGCTCTGAGTTGAGTAACCACAGGGCTGGTGCCCGAGAAACTCCTCTCCAGTAACAAACTTGGGTGCGTGACCACAGCTGGCACCCTGTGTCACCAGGTTTTGAGTGCAGCTCCAACTCTTGCATCCCTTTAGAGCTTTCAAAGGTAGTGAAAGTGTGTGTGGTAGAGGAATAAAAGCACGAATGTTCCTGGTGTGAACACTGAGGACTCTCACTCAGCCATGGTCCTTTCCTGCTGCCTGCAGAGGCACAGCTGGCCCTGGGGTTTTTCTCCTCAGATTACTTTTGTGACGGTCCCTCACAAACCTGTGCCTCTCTTCGGAAAATAACAGGTTTAACTGAAGAAATCAGTAGGAAAAAGCCACACTTTTTAAGGACCAGTCTGTGTTGGATGTTTGCACTGTTTTGATTAGGTTTGATGGTGATTTGATTTGGCACAGGTGCTTCTGCTGCCACACGCATATTTGCACTGGGCTGTTCCGCAGCTCCCGGCTTAACCCTTTCTTTCCGCCCACCTGCTCTGCGCAGGGGGAGGCTGCGGAGCCGCCTGCGTGGCTGTGAGTCAGGAGGGTGCCCACACCCTGCCCGGCAGCGGGGCCGAGGGGCTCCGTGTGCCCACGCAGCTCTGCCCGCACGCAGCAGCATCCCCCTGAGCTGCCTGCCCCCTGGCTGGGTCACAGCAGGAGTTGCAAGGGAGGGGGATGCGGTGGCTTTGCTGCCTCTCGAGTACCACCGCATCCCCCTGCCCACTCCGCCTCCCGGGCACTGTGAGAGCTTTAGCATGCTTCAGTTTACCACCAAACTGCCCTAACTCTCCTTCAAAACAAGGAGTTTGGGGGTAGTGCTTCATATTTGGAAAAATTCTTGGCCTGAGACCCCAGGATGTTAAGCAGTTGTACTGTGGTGTCTTTTCTGTGAGAAGTGGCTTCAAACCTGGCTCATTTAATGGGTGGGAAGCGTGGGCTCCTGAGAGACTGGTGGTGGGGACAAGCAGGTCCCCTTTGCGGGGGACAGGGGGTACTGAGCTCTGCTTCAGTGCTGAAAGTGATTCCTGGTGGTTGCAGTGAAAGTTTCCCCAGCTGGATCGGGCACACGCAGATCCGATGCAGGTACCACAAACTGGAAATGCCGGTTCCTGGTGCCTGCTCTGAATCAGCTGGAGCTGTGCTGTGGTCACACCCCTGGCAAACGTACGAAGGGGAGCAATCTTCCTCCTCATCTCTGCAGCCTGGCAGTGCTGGGGATGCTTTCCATTTTAGAAGCCAGCTCATGACGTGAGGATGGGTGGGTTTTGGGAGAGATGCTGAGTGTTAGCAACTGCAACACAATTTTTTTCTGGTGTGGAACAGGCTTGCCAGGTTTTTAGGACCTGTTGAAATGACATGTCCAAAATTATTGCTCATCTCTGAAATGTGGACTGTTTCCTCCAACTTTGCATAGATCTCTTCCGACTGCCATTCCCTTTCTGCTCCTATCCAAACATGTGATGCATATGCCGCTATTAAATTAGTGCTCAGACATCTTTGTTTCCCTGTAAATGAGCAGGTATCCTCAGTGTGCTCTGAGACTGGCAGCAAGGAATTTCCATAGCAAATGAGAACTGCTGGGTTTTTTTCCTTGTGGCTTTTGGTATCTCATTGCTTTGGACAGTTTCATTTTCGGCTCTTGAAGTGCCTCTGTTAGCCTTTGTCTTCCCTGTGGCTTTTAGCTGAAGTTCAGGCTCTGTCCTCTGCCCTGTGCTGCATCTTTGGGTCCAGTCAAGAGATCTGGTCATCTGCAGGGTGATGGAGCTTGCAAGCAAAGCGTGTCTGCTTTCTCACTGTTTGGTCAAAACCTGAGGGATTCCAGGGCTCTCAGCAGCTCCTGTGCTCCTCAACTCCCTGCACCCAGGGTGTAACATTGATGTGTTGAGCCCTGGCTGGGGCTGTCTGTGTAAACCCAGCTTCACCTTCGACCGTGGAGACTTTGGAATCCTACAGCAACCTCTCGTGAAAGTAGCGATAATGCCAGTTAAAAGCAAAGGGCACGGGGGTGGTCATTATCTGGACTTTTGTACTCGGAAAACCACTGCGCTGAGTGTGCGGGCTGGTGGTGGTAGGATGATGCTTCCTTTAACAAGGGGCTGCTAACAGCCAGCATGAACACCTCCCTGGGATGAGGAGGGTGCAGTGCGGTGGATCCTGGGGCCTGGGAATGGGGTGGTTTGTCCCTGACCCTGCCCAAGGGGTCTGTGAGCTCCGGCCACTCATGGAGCATTGTTTCCATGCTGTGGGTCTCTCCCCATGCTGCTGTGTGAAAGCCCAGTCCACTGCCTGGGTCGCTTCCACCTGCGCTGACAGCCTGGTTCATGGGCAGTTTGTGTTTTGGAGATGGGTGCATTAGCGTGAGCAATTTAGCCCCTCTGCAGAGCAATCTCAGCAGTGAGCCACTGCAGGAGAGGAGAGGCTTTCTGCTGCTGCAGCCATGTGGGGCAGGAGCCCTGGTCAGCTTCCAGGTGAGCCAATGTGCCACAAATACCTCATGGGGGGTGGCTGTCACCACCCAAAGTGCCCCTTGCTGATGTGTCAGGGGAATTGTGTCCATGGCTTGTGCAGCCATGATCACTTTGCTCATCCCCTTAAACCAGGCCAACAGCTGCTACTGCAGGGACCTCTGTGTCTTGGAAACAGCCCTGGGTCCCATCAGGGTCCTGTTTGTGTAGACAGATTACCAGCTATACAAGCTAGAGCCTGCTTGTCAGCGCTTTGCTCCGATACCCTGGGTGTAAAACTAACAGCTGTTTTCTGAACTATTGCAGAATGCTCAGGAATCCCATGGAGTGGCTGTGCCAACGCCCTCGGTGCCAGAAGACTTTGAGGAAAAAGCAGCTCTTGGTAAGGGAACTTTTGAGTCCTGGAGGTGCTCAGTGCTCAGCAGCACAGTGCCCCAGGGAAGGAAGTGTGCATGTACCGAGCTCTGGAGCAGACAGTCTGGTCATGAGATTTTCATGCTAAAAGAGTCTACTATTAATTATTTTTTTGAAGTAATTGAAAATTAATTCAGCTCTAAGGGGTGAGGCATAGTGGCTGTTACTGTTCAGCAAACCTTAGACAGCTGCTGAGCAAAATGAGCTGAAGGGAGAATTGCTGGCCAGAGGCGATGCCGGCCGTCGTGGTACTGACGGGGAAGGTGCTCACTGCCGTGCTCTCACTCTGCCCTGCAGGCTCCGGCTCCCAGGTCAATGGGAACTACCGCATGTACAGCTCAGTGGGGGACCTGCGCCCGCAGGCTCTCGAGGGGGATGACCTGGACGAAGACATCCCTCCACCGCCATCGATACCCCCACCACCCCCTCCAACAGCACCGGCACCTGCGCCACCACCTCCAGCCTCGCCAGCCCCTATACCACCTGCAATGCTGCCACCCCCG